CCCCCCCTCCCTCCCTCTTTGAACCACTGCTTCGATTTCCTCTAAAGTCTCTCTCGAATGCCATGAAGATAATATTTAAATGTTTAACATTTTGGAGTTATAAGTAGACGAGTTTAAAATAACAAGCGACCTTTCTAAAAGGTTTCTAGGTCATAATACATTCGGACACTACAGTGGGAAATAAGGAGGAAGTGCATGAGCAGATATAAGACAGGCATGCGCGCGAGTGAAGTATGTCAGTTTATGTGAGTAGGTATACTCTCAAGCGGAATAGATTAGTTATAGAATAAAAGGAGAATCAGAAAACATAACCGCAAGTGCTCGGAGAATTAAATTCGTTAATATCCACCCCGTATATGTATTTCAAATCCAAATTCCCATAACACGAATATGAACGACTGCTTTTTCCATAAAATTATTGAATAGACCGATCGCATCCACCTTATCATTACGAAAAGTACGATTAAGTAGCTGGAACTAACGCGGTTACTTGTGTTAGTGATTGGCCGTAAAGCAGAAAGACATTTGTAAGCTTGACAATGGTTTATTAACACGAGTATTTCACTGCTCTAAATGCCGCAATGACAAAGAAACCTTTGTGAATTCATTTGACTTTCCTTATTTTCCTTTATATTGAAATTAATTCATGTTTTGATTCACATTTAATTACACTGCAATCCGTTTTAAGTAAAATGAATCCGAAAGGACATATTTCTGAAAGACTTTTCGTAGTTCTAATCAAATTGTGCACTTTTGGTAATTGGATAATTAGATACCTAAAAAAATTGATCTTCAATGTTGAACCCAAAATAACTTGACAGTAAGGCATTTTGCACTGAATTGCAGGGAATGAAAAGTAAGTAAAGCAAGATTATTTGCGACTATTGTATGATTAACCTCTGTTGTCATTACCCGAATGATATTTAAAAAGACATTTCCTTTTAAATTCGTTTTAATTTCAACAATTTCTTTAGTCTTAATATTGTAACATTTTTGCATATGTATATTACTTAATGTGATCACACGTTGAGATACAGAGAGAATTTTCGTGCACTCGAAAGAAATTCGCTTCTATATTTGATCATATTGGTTACAGATGGCACAGGATGGGTTTGGGGGGATGATAAGCCCCTGGCCCTTCTAGTTGCATGGCTACCAGAAGAAGTAGCGCAATTCATTTCCTTCAACCTCATGGTTAGCATAGTATTAATCCTTCGTGTTATTAATTACGTCATAAAGAGCGCATTTACATCAGCAATTCCTGAATCCCTCATTGCCATTTTCGCAGGAAGTATTATCGGCTCTCTCATGAGAAATACTGAAATTCGAATGTCTTACTTCTGGGAGTTTACTCCAACCCTGTTTTTCATGATTCTCTTACCTTTCTGTATCATTGATGCTGCCTACAGTCTCTACAATCGTACCTTTGCCGATTGCGTCGTTGCAATAATTTCCTACGCCGTCTTTGCCACAGTTCTCAATATGATTTTGATCGGAACTTTACTAATAATAGCTGAACAAATAGGCTTCTTTAAAGCAGAAGGATTCAAATTTGGACCGCAGGTCTTGATGTTCTATGCCGCCACAATTGTTGCCGTTGATCCGGTTGCCGTTTTAAACGTGTTTTATGAAATTGGCGTCGATCCAAATCTTTACTATCTTGTTTTGGGAGAGTCGTTACTAAATGATGCAGTAACGGTCGCTCTCTATAAAATCGTTAATGAATTTCTTGATAGTCGTGAGGTAACTATACGTGATGTACTAATAGGAATCGCGGCATTCTTTACCATAAATGCAGGAGGAATACTAGTTGGCATCATACTTGGAGTTTTATCTTGTATCTTGACACGTATTCCGACACGCCTTGAGGTAGTTTTTCTCTTTATTGGCAACTACTCAGCTTATCTTCTTGGAGATGCTCTTGGATGGTCGGGCTTGGTTTGCTTAATTACTTGCGGCATGGTGCAGAGTAGCTACGCCTTCCATAATCTGAGTTCTGAAGATGCTGTAACTTGCCGTAGAATGGCTCATATGCTTGCGGACATTTGTGAGACGATGACTTTCTTGCTTATTGGCATGAAAATGACGAGTAATGAACTCTACTGGCACACATCTTTCATCCTCTCTCAGCTTATTGTCTGCCTTGTCGTTCGAAGTGTTGTTGTCTTTGGCATGACCTGGTGTTTGAATAAGTACGACATGAATTACTCACGAATAACAGTAACTGAACAGTTCATTTTAGCCTATGGGGGATTGAGAGGTGCAGTGGCACTCTCTCTAGTCTATTTAGGCGATACCGAAAATATTGATCAAGGTCAACATGGTGTGCACAAAATTCTAATTACGGCCACACTCTTTACAATACTATTCACAGTTGGCTTTATGGGTCCAACGATGAGACCCTTAGCCCGACTGCTTCGAGTTAAACTAGCTGCAAAACAGGAGATTAGCTTGATGAAGGAACTCAATGAAAGAATAATTGACGAGGTTAATTCTGGTCTGGAGGTCATTACTGGTCATATGGGGTGGAATCGAGCTCGAGACTGGTTTCTAAAAGTGAATGAGAAGTACATTCGAAAAGTCTTGCAAAATGATCCACAATTTCGAAATCAAAAGATCGTGAAGGTGTACCAGGACATGGCTCTCGTTTTACATCAAGCCTCCTTAAACCCCAAAAAAGCGCATGTGCTTTTGGAGGAATTGCCTGTTAATGTCAGGACCGCATATCGAGCTCAAGAGCTTGAGGACATGACAGAGACATATCATCAATTAAAAATGGCAACAACTAGGAGTCCTGTCAGAAAATTCTATGACTACCATTCACTGTTTACTGTAAAGCTTCAACAATTTTGGGGTTGTGTAAGTGAACCACAAAATTCACAAGCAAACAGGAAAGCCACGGCTCATGGCAATAGGCTCTTGCCTTGGGTGAAAAATGTGGAGAGTTCATCCCAAAATCCAGATAGGGAGACCAAGTCTGAAGAAGGTACACAATCAAAAGAAGGACCAAATACTTCAGGCAATCAAGGCTCTCCTCAGTCGGTGAATAAAATGGAACGGAAATCCGAACATGATTAGTATTACTGTGAATGGCGAGTTAAAACAGAATGATGACCGAAAAGTGTAACCAAATAATACAGTTTTTTAATGTTTAAATAAAACTTGCTTTAAAATTCGATTAGTGTGTGACATCTAAAGGCTTTAACTACTATAGTATGATATACAGATTTTACTGAAACCTAGTGGGGCTTTCATTCACGCTTTATAGACACTTATTTGATATAACAATTAGTTCTGCTATTTGGAATTAGAACCTATACTAGAAGAAGGAAAAATTCAAAGAATATGAGAGCGAAATAAGTTGATTTATAACATAACTAATATTTTTTAGTTCCTAACCAAATACCTATTAAAATTGTGTTAAGTACAAAGGATCTTCTGAACTCATTAGACTAAGTGTTCACAGTACCTTACCTGGAAACAGAATAGATTCAATGGAGTCACTCTTATGAGAAATTTACATTCTGCCACCTCACCTGCTGTCCGAAATTAACTGGGATAGTTGGTAAGCCACCGTACTCTTTGTACACAGATGACCGTTGTTCTCATGGCGTTTGACTTGAAAGAAAAGGTTAAGGATTAAGTTACAGTGCTATCATTGTCGGTATTGGTTGATTTCGGTGATTATTCTTCGGTCACCTCTGAAATGCTATTTCCTGGAACTGAAAAATGAAACCGTGTTGAGTACCAATATTTGCTTAACCGCATTTCTTTTCACAGCCAATTGCCAAGGCCTCTTTGTCAACAAAGTCGGTTAGACAGGTTTTAGTAAAGTGTTGCAAAATTATGCACCCATACGTTACCATTGAAATGCGCATGCAAGTTATAGTATTGCCACCGAGACGAATGCCGTGTTATGCTGAGCTATCGCTCCTCATTTCCTTTGATCCTAACACGCTATGCGTCAGGGTAACTCGAAAGTACTTTTGAAGATTGAACGAAAATTTGTAAGGAGAATAGTCGATTTAAGCGATGGCTATGAACTATACTTAGTCGATCTTGAACTTAAGACAATCCATTCTTGGACGAACTGAATCAGGTTATTTGCTCCATTTTTCCTTAAATGTAAATAACTTCATTAAAATGCTTAAGTCTAAAAAGCAAAGTTTTACCTTTTAAACAATTACATTAAGTAAATAATTACATGAACATGTTGTCTACTGTTTTCACCAAGTGCCTAATTTAATCAATTTAATTACAGATTGCTTACCGAGATCTACTTGTCATAAATAAACTTCAGTTCTTCCACAGATTGCCAAAATCGATAATGTTAATAAAAATCCAAGTACAATTTGCGCTGTCCTAACTACTTCCTTACGACCATATGACAAGGGTACTGTGAAGTGTGCAGTGGTTTAGTATATTGGGCTTACCTGGTATATCGTTTCAAGACAAATACAGCCCTAGTTTTTGTACATTTACTATCCAAAATCGGAGCTAACACAGTACTAAGGTAATGGAACAGAAGTCTGAGAATTGTCAACCGTCAATTTAAATCCCTATCAAACATCCCCCTACGATCACTCTCTTTCTTTTCTACCCATTGCATCCATCTGAGTCCGCTCTCAATATGCCAAGTATACATTAATGTTGTAGCGGAGATTGGTGGTAAATGGACAACATAACGTTATGCACTTTGAATGTGCTTTAAACGCATTTTTCATAATTACAGAACATTTATTAGAAAATATAACCCTTGTAAGCCGGATAAATATTGACTTTGAGCTCTCTCGAGGAATCATTTCAAATGTTCACTAATTTTGAGAAGTCTTGAATAAGTGTTTTATGTTGATATCATTCGGTGAAATATCAGAATGGTGGAAATAAAGATAAGATCATGCAAACATCGTCTTATAGATAGGCAGTAACATTCAAGATGCAGTTATGTGGAATTAATTAAATTAATTTCGACTAAAATGTGATCCAGGATGTTCTCACTTTCTGAATGCATTTAAGTGAAGTCAGACGTCGTAGAGACTAATAGTTTGTTCAATTTCCTCATAAAAATGCTATGTAAATTAATCTTTTAGACTAGAAAATTAGAAAGCAATCTGAATTATGGTTAGCAGTCTAATGAATTTACTTAAAGTTTGTGGGAAGTCGACAGAAAATTTCAATTCCCTTAATGCTTTCATTGTTATAAACTTTTTCAACATATTGCCGCTGATAGCACTCTGATCTCAAGAAAAACTCGGATGCTGTTGCAGCCTTCTGGAACTCAAAAACAATCCCAAGTCTTTAAATTTATTAATGATGCGCAATTAAGCACACTTTAACTGTTTTTCCCTAGTTTCGTCGTGCAAAGACTCATGGCTGGCGTGTATTTTAAAATTGAATTAAATCATTACAGATTAATAATAGCTTTGTAAACATGTGAAATTACTCTATTTATTTCTTTTAAATGTTAATATCTGACTTAACCTAACACCGAAAGTTGACCACCATAACTCGTGACTGCTGAATTGAACCGGAATCCTATATATATATATATATATATTGATTAATGAACTAGATATCAAACATTTCTAAGTGACTGAAGGTCAACCGTCTTCCAAGACGATAACCGGAGAGCCTTTCAAAGTTTTAAAGTTGTTAAGACTTATGGGAGGTGGAGCGATTCCAAATACTCACCTCTGGCTAGCTGATCACACCTACTTGATATAGCACGCTAACTTACCTAGATCTGATGACACAGCCAACCTACGCCGGCGTACGAAAGCTGTCTTTTCGGTGGCATGAGTCCTCATGAAATTTGGAGAGAACTAAGGAGGATTGAGTTAATTGAAGAAACTGTAGAACCTATTAGATTTTCATCTCACAAGTGTTCCGTTGAGACGGGAGTGATTCAACTTTGGATGTGACATCATTTGAAGCATAATTAATAAGTAAAGCAATTTTTTAGGATAAAAAAATGATATTCAAATGATAACTGTAAATTCTTTTCACTACATAGAATTTATTAAAATTACACAGGGAATGGAAAATTAACTACTTAAGAATATAATTTCCCGCTAATATGTTCAATAAATCTAATGAAATTTGATCCATGTCCTATCAGTTATTTAATATTCACTTAATTTCGACAGTTATATTAGTCACAATAATGTGAATACTTTAATTGGTGATTTAGAATTATTTACATAACCTTAGAAAATTATAATGCAGTTTATCTACTTTTTCGCAATTTTACAAATGTAGTTTTCTTTATTGAAAACACCACATTTCACCCTAGAAGTTTCCAAACGCAATTTATATTAATTAATCCGTCCAGAAATTGGAATAACTAATTTTTATGTCCTTGAAATGTTATTCACCATCAGTCACATGCATGAAGTATGTTACGTCCTTGTTATGGAGCTGACCAGAGCACCTTAGAAGAAATAAGTAAGATCTTCCATGTGTCCAGATTAACAAGGAAATGACTGCTTGTAAATACTATTTTCAAGGTCATGCCGTTTTCAGACACTAAGTTTTGAATGACGTCCAATAGTTAAATCTGTTTTCATTAAGACACCTTGGTCAGTACTTTTTAGTCTAAGAATATTCTGTAAATTTAAAGTTTGTGAAGCTTTTTACTTTCAGTGCCACAATTTACTAAAATAAAAAATTTCCATTGTAAGCACTTATCAATTTGATTTTTTTAACTTTCGTACTTGCCCTAAGCATTCATTTTCGCCTTCAATCACAGCGACTAATAACACCAGCCAATAGTTAAAACTGAACAACATTTCGGATTTAAATTGCAATATTTTCATTTTTGATATATTATTGTCTTAGCTTAGTCTCCGGTATCGCACAAATATATTTAATCGAATGCTGAAACTTGAAGCAAGACCATTATTCTCTATCCATTCGAGAGAATTCAATTTTAATTCAGGTTTCATGAATAGTTCAGAATGACCCCAGCCTTCATCTTTTGCGCAATTTTCATTACATATTCGTCCAAACTGACCATTGGTTGATCTTAGGTTTAATCATTTTTGTAAAGGGGGTGTGTGATAGATTTACCTCCACGTGGTGCACCCTGGGCAACGTATACTCATACGGCAAAAAAG